TACATTAAATGCACTAATTACATTAAATTAAATAGATTCGAATAGAATTTTCTCAAATACCAATACCAACTTACCCAATTCACTTTACGTTAAAGTTAGAATCATTTTCGAATATCAGTACATTTACCTTTCACCAATCAACAGAAATTCCAATACCACCAGCTTCAGAACAAAACTTACCAGATGATTCATTACCTTTTTCAATTACAAATTCCAATTTAACTACTACGACATCAAACACAACTATTAATTTATCTACATTAACAAATGTTGGTGAAACTAATTGTACAATTCATATAGATTTTATGAAAAAAGATTCAAAATCTTCTTTAGGATGGAAAACCAAAGGGAATATTCCTATACTTTCATTACCACATGATGATTATAAAATTATCAAAGAAGCCAAATTTTGTAAAGAAATGATGTTGGGATATAGAATATTTCCGTATGCTAAAAAATTATCCAAAAATATTTATCAATTACCAAATGCTCAAACACATTCTTGTGGTGAATTAACTTATGATGCAGAAAAGTTTGGTGGAAATGAAAAATTTATAGATGGAAATGGAAATGAGGAGATTTATTCGGAGAATTATGATGATTATTTTGGTAATAGGCATGATTATAATGACGATGGTGATAACGACGATGATAGTGAAAATATTAATAACTCTAATCAAAATATTAATGATGATTTTGATAATATATCACAATACTCGTTATCTGATAATGAAGACGTACCACAAACACCAGGAATCGTATCATATCCGACAAATATAATAGATCATAATAGAAATGATGATTCAAGTGTTTCAACTTGTAATGAAATTGAATTTATTTATTTAACGATTCCAAAAGAATCTTTATTGGGATTGATGGATTCTTTGGATCGTCTTGCTGGTTAGTTTTTCATTTACTTTTTTTATTCATTTTTCATTAGTTTTCATATCTATTTTTTCTCGTTTCATCAAAGTAATTAATTACTCAAAACTTTTATTATTGTTATGTAGACAATGATATCCGAAGTGGGTAAGTTGGTATTGGTATTTGAGAAAATTCTATTCGAATCTATTTAATTTAATGTAATTAGTGCATTTAATGTA